GCAGGATGGGCAAAGGTCCCCAATACCAATCCCAGACAAAGTTGCAGGGTGCGGTGTAGCCTCTGGAGCCCCCTTCCCCACCGTCCCACCTCCATCCCCACAGAAGCAACAGGATGGGGAAACCCTCAGCAGTCCCCCCTTACCTCATCCCCAGAAGAAGCTACTGGGTGGGGCAGACCTAGCACACACACCCTGACCCCATCCCCATCCCCAGCAGACACTGTGGGGTGGTCCTTTATGGTAGAAGTGTAGGGGGAGACACCCCGACCCTCGTTCCCTGCACAAGCACAGAGGGTGGCAGGGGACGCCCCAGGACTGGACTCTGCTGCAGCCTGGGGAGTCTCTCACAGCCAGGGCTGTGGCACAGGGACAGAGCTTCTCCGGTCTTGGGGCTGCAATTGCCCCAGAAGTGAGCGTACAGTTGGGGGGCTTGCAAGGTGAGGCGGCAGAAGGAAGGGGGCCCTGGGTGGAACAGACGGCGATCTGGGAAAGGGATGGAGATGCCCCCTCATTGGCGCTGAGCCAGGTCCCCAGGCAACTTTACTTTGTCCCTGCCAGCTGGGGAAACCTAGGTTTACCTGGGCCTGCCTCAGTGCAGGGGCTGAAGGTGAGAACCTCCGCCACACATTTCTATGACAAAGGCTGAGCTCCTGGCCCCTCTGAAGACAATGGCTGAAGGGGAGGGGGGTATTATTATTGTCTTCAGTGCAGCCTGGTGTTCCCCCGAAACTGCTTCCCAACTGTGGGGCAGGCTGCACTGACCCAAGGCTGCGTGCTCATATATCTGCTTTAAGCTACCAAGGACCTGGTCGTTCCTCCTAATGCCCTGGTCCTTTGATGCGCTCCAAAGCGCCGCCATTTACCCTCCAGCCAGGCAGACATGCTGCCTATGTGGGCGTTCGTTAGCACCCCTTGAGTCAGAGGCGCTGCAGTGAAACATTCCGGTGCGACCACGCCTGGCTCAAGGCAGTATGGGAGCGACATGAGCCCAGCCACTGAGCGTCTCTTACTAGCTTGTTCAGGCAGGTTTCCCAGGAGCCAGAGAGAGATTTTTAGCTCAGTAATTCGCCACACGTGCAACCCTCCTGCCAGGTGCAGCCGGCAGCCGGCAGGGCCGGGATCAATAGCGAAGGGCTCCTTTTCAACAGCACAGAACCACCTCAAGCCCCTACCCAGGTGCCTGGGGAAATGACAGACCATCCCAGGCGCCTCTGTGAGGCAATACTTCCCCAGGCGCCATCGCGGCCTGAGTGTCGCAAAGCAAGGTTAATAAAAGGAGGGGGGCAAAGGAGGAAACTTCCCGGAGGCCTGGTAATGCGACAGGGCCCAGCACGGCCCTTTAAATGGCTACTGAAATGCATGCTGAGGCTGCGAAGTGGGCTTTGGCTGACGCTGAGGCTGCTGGGGTAGGCGCAGTGTGTTCTGGCTGACGCTGAGGCTGCCCGGGATAGGCGCAGTGTGTTCTGGCTGATGCTGAGGCTGCACGGGGTAGGCGCAGTGTGTTCTGGCTGAGATAGGCGCAGTGTGCTCTGGCTAACGCCGAGGCTGCCCGGGATAGGCGCAGTGTGCTCTGGCTAACGCCGAGGCTGCCCGGGATAGGCGCAGTGTGCTCTGGCTAACGCCGAGGCTGCCCGGGATAGGCGCAGTGTGCTCTGGCTAACGCCGAGGCTGCCCGGGATAGGCGCAGTGTGCTCTGGCTAACGCCGAGGCTGCCCGGGATAGGCGCAGTGTGCTCTGGCTAACGCCGAGGCTGCCCGGGATAGGCGCAGTGTGCTCTGGCTAACGCCGAGGCTGCCCGGGATAGGCGCAGTGTGCTCTGGCTAACGCCGAGGCTGCCCGGGATAGGCGCAGTGTGCTCTGGCTAACGCCGAGGCTGCCCGGGATAGGCGCAGTGTGCTCTGGCTAACGCCGAGGCTGCCCGGGATAGGCGCAGTGTGCTCTGGCTAACGCCGAGGCTGCCCGGGGTAGGCGCAGTGCGCTCTGGCTGACGCCAATGCTGCCCGGGGTAGGCGCAGTGCATAATGGCTGATGCCGAGGCTGCCCGAGGTAGGCGCAGTGTGTTCTGGCTAACGCTGAGGCTGCCTGGGGAGGCGCAGTGTGTTCTGGCTAACGCTGAGGCTGCCTGGGGAGGCGCAGTGTGTTCTGGCTAACGCTGAGGCTGCCTGGGGAGGCGCAGTGTGTTCTGGCTAACGCTGAGGCTGCCTGGGGAGGCGCAGTGTGTTCTGGCTAACGCTGAGGCTGCCTGGGGAGGCGCAGTGTGTTCTGGCTAACGCTGAGGCTGCCTGGGGAGGCGCAGTGTGTTCTGGCTAACGCTGAGGCTGCCTGGGGAGGCGCAGTGTGTTCTGGCTAACGCTGAGGCTGCCTGGGGAGGCGCAGTGTGTTCTGGCTAACGCTGAGGCTGCCTGGGGAGGCGCAGTGTGTTCTGGCTAACGCTGAGGCTGCCTGGGGAGGCGCAGTGTGTTCTGGCTAACGCTGAGGCTGCCTGGGGAGGCGCAGTGTGTTCTGGCTAACGCTGAGGCTGCCTGGGGAGGCGCAGTGTGTTCTGGCTAACGCTGAGGCTGCCTGGGGAGGCGCAGTGTGTTCTGGCTAACGCTGAGGCTGCCTGGGGAGGCGCAGTGTGTTCTGGCTAACGCTGAGGCTGCCTGGGGAGGCGCAGTGTGTTCTGGCTAACGCTGAGGCTGCCTGGGGAGGCGCAGTGTGTTCTGGCTAACGCTGAGGCTGCCTGGGGAGGCGCAGTGTGTTCTGGCTAACGCTGAGGCTGCCTGGGGAGGCGCAGTGTGTTCTGGCTAACGCTGAGGCTGCCTGGGGAGGCGCAGTGTGTTCTGGCTAACGCTGAGGCTGCCTGGGGAGGCGCAGTGTGTTCTGGCTAACGCTGAGGCTGCCTGGGGAGGCGCAGTGTGTTCTGGCTAACGCTGAGGCTGCCTGGGGAGGCGCAGTGTGTTCTGGCTGACGCTGAGGCTGCCTTGGAGGGAACTAGCCCCACCATTTCTATCCAAGGCCCCACACCTGGCAGGGGCACAGACCTAGGGCCTCCCTGCCTTGCCCAGGGGCTCAGTGAGTCCGGCAGTCCCACTAGTGCAAGCAGGATGTATACTCATACAACAATGAGCAGGACAGTCATCCCAGTGTCTAGATGGCTTCTGGGCAGTACTCACCTCAGTAAACAGTTGTATGCGCTACCGTGGGAAAGCTTCTGTCCTAATGAACGTGTCAGTGTTTACTGTTGCTTCTGTTTATCTAGCAACAGGATGTGAACCGGGATTGAAGCAGGAGCGTTACCAGTCTGTTGTGATGCTGATTGTTGGAAACTGGTGTCATAAACGAGTTACAAACTATCAGAAGGCAGAGGGACAGATAAATCTCTCTGTGTACACAGGAGTCTATTGAAGTCAGTGAGTCTGTGGACAGTGAATTCAATGGAGGCAGGATTTCCCCTGTGATGTTTGGTGTAGCTGTGACAGACTTATCTGGAAAGTCTAAAGCAGGGCTGAGGAACCTAAGGCCCGGTGGCCAGATGCAGCCCCCGGCTTGCCTGGATCTGGTCCCAGTGGCTCAGGGCTTCCCCCATCATTGGGGAGCCCGTGCTGGTGCTCCAGATTCCCCTTGCCGTTTCCCCATAGGGCTGGAACACACAAAATCTGCTACGGGCTCCCCAAGGCTCTGGTGTGTGAGGTTCCCCTTGCCGTTTCCCCATAGGGCTGGAACACACAAAATCTGCTACGGGCTCCCCAAGGCTCTGGTGTGTGAGGGGAATTTGGGGAGTGTCTTATTCTTCTGTCAGGGAGCCACGTCAATGAGAGTTGAGGTGGGGCGTTCTTTTTGCTTCTTTCTTGCGTGCAGCCCCCGAGTGATTTCTCTGTGGGTCAGCAGCCCCCAACCCAAAAAAGTTTTCCCAACCCTGAAGGCATAGTCTGATATATTATTATTTGCGCTGGTTCGTGTTTTTCCTCCACGTGATCTTGCAATTGGGAGCTCCAGGTACCTGGTACCCCTTCCTGGAGCATGGAGCTGGGCCCCCTCACTGTGCCCAGGGAGTGGCAAGTCTACTGGTTCCCCTGCTCATAGAACTCTCTTTTGTGAGTTACAGCGTGCTCAAGGCACTATTTGGAGCAGCTGCTTACATTTTACACACGTGTCATTCATATGGCTCTGAAGAAGAGTCAGAAGTTTATATATATTCACCGTGTAAGTTGGCTTTTTAATCAAATGGTGCCCAGATGTTCTTTGCAAACTCCCATGCATGAGTTTTTACGCTTGCTTTATTATTTGGCTTTGTTCACTGAAAATCAGCATCACACAAATCTCAATTCTCACTCACCAGTGAACATGCACTGTGTTTAACTCCTGATGAGGAAGCAGCATTTCTACTTTAAGCCCCTAACGCTTTTTTTCAGAAAAATTACCCTTAGTGCTAAAATTTAAGATTACATTCTGAACCCAAAGAGAGACTGTTTTAAAGTAAAACTTCATTTGACGATGATTGAGTTTTCCCACAGATGAAAAGCATTTGATCCCCAAGTGCTAAAATATAAAAACAAAAAACAAACCGTGTGGCGCACAAAAAAAAAGAAGTTATTTTTATTTATTTTATTGCCAAAAAGCAAATACAAATACAAAAAAAAACCTCTCAAAAGACGTACATAAAGAGATAGGATTAAGAAACAAAGTTCTGTGTATGGAAATCTCACTGGAACATAGTGAAGGTTTCTTGTCTTTGCGCTTGGCATAATTTAAATCTCTAGGTTACAGTCTGGCTCCACTGAATTCAATACCAAAACTCCCCTTGTCTTTCAATAGAGCCAGACTTTCCCCCACTATATTCTGAAACTTTGGCTACACTACAAGATTTGCCACAAGAGCCTATGCAAATGAAGCACGGATTAGCATTTACCCATGCTTCATTTGCATACTCTTTCGGTCCATTTTTGCGCTAGAGGTTTTTGTGCAATACGGCCATGGCCACACTGCCTGTTTTTGAGCAAAAACCCCTAGCGCAAAAACAGACCGAAAGAGAGTATGCAAATGAAGCACGAGAAAATGCTAATCTGCGCTTCATTTGCATAGGCTCTTGCGGTAAAAGTCACAGTATCGCCTTAACACAAGACAAGTGGGATGACTAGTGATGAAAAAACCACCTTTGGCCATTTTGGTCAAAAGTTGATTATTTGTTGAAAATCAAAACTAATTCTACTCATGCAACCAATTCTACTCAATTCTTCGCAAACCATCCATGTAGCCACACCCTAACAGGAACAACAGAAAAAGAGAAAAACAGTCTGACCTATGGTCACTTTCATTTCCAAAATGTGACACGTGACAATATGGCTTTAAACACTCTCGCGCTAGCTTGAGACTTTAGAGTCAGACTTGGGAAAGGGATGTTCCCACCCACCACTCCTTCCCCCTTCACTGGGTGCAGCATGCTTCTGCCACCCCATTGGCCCTTGCACCCACTCACCTGTTTCACTGGCCACCTGGCCTTCTCTGACTCCCACTCCCCACTGACCTATCTGAGAGCCAAGAAGACCCATATCCTGCAGGGGAAGGAGGGGGCAGAGTAAGGGAACCCAGCTTCAACAATTAAAATCTATGAGGCACGTGACCCTTCATGCCCCACACACATATATCACTTATGCCTGAGCAGGAAGGGAGACCCTTGGGGCTTTTCTCCCAGATGGGGGGAGAACCTGACCATGCCTAGTTACTTGCACTGGGAGGCGTCAGCACAGGTCTCTCTTCCTTACCGGGGACCCTGTGCTCTGCAGGCCTTACGTCTCTCTGGATGGGGGGAAGAAAAAGCAAGTCAAATGCCCCAATGCCTTGGAGGTACCCCCTTGCTAGGACTCCCTAAAGATGTGGGAGGAGTCCACAGCTCTACCAATGATACCGCTGCATAAAGGTTCTGAGAAATCTCTCTGCCTGGGCTTAATCAGCACAGCTTACATTGGGAGCTCACTGCATTCTCTGTAGGGTTGGAGTGCAGATCTCTTAGCTGTGCCTCTAGGAGTCCAACAGTCTTACGGCAATCCTGCTCCTCGCCTATCTGTCTGCAGAGTCCTTCCTACCTTGCATGATTGAGGGGGCTGAAGGGGCAGGGCTAGCCTTGACACTCAGGGTCTCTGGCAAGCTTTCTCATTAGTGTGGGCTATATACACCCCCCAACACAGGGAGTACCCGCAATGCGGCCCCCTACTTCCTCGCCATTCCTCAAGCCAGGTTCAGAGCGTGCTAAGGAGGAGGGAATCGTACACCACTCTGGACACACAGGAGAACATGTGGCTTCGTATGAGCTTCACTGTGTTTGGCTTTCACTGGCAAGATGAAGCAAACTCAGCAAAAAAGGCAGACGGACTGGGCATGGAGGCTGGAACTAACCTCTTGCTTCCCATAGGTAAAGGCTGGGGATGGGGGAGGAGGTGAGAGGTAGTGTGAGGGGAAGCAGTCACTGTTGCTGCCGGTGCTGTCCTTCCTCCACCTTTCCTGAACGAATACAAAAAGCTTCAAGATTTTCCTCCCACCCCATGGCCCAGCAGCTGGGATGCAGTTTGACAGAAGGGTCCCACTCAATTGCAGTGAGGCAAACACACACAACCCTGCTGTGCTCTCCCAGGGTGATTCAAACTGCGGATGGAGTCCCACGCTCTGCCTAGATGTTCTTGCTTTTGGCCTCAAATACCTTGAGAGCACTGGGAACATTCTTGCTTCTTTGAAACTTAGCAGTGAAAAAATCATAAAGCCAGAGCGGAAAATAGCAAAATATGCAAACAGAGAGGTAAGCGTGTTTGCCTGGAGTGTATGAACCACGTGGACTCGTTGCCAATAAAGCATGGAGAATGTCATCTAATACTGGGGAGAGGTCAGAGGCACAATTAACCGACATGTTCAGAAGGACATTTTTCAGTGCTTCAATGTAGTCTTCACCGTAGTCTTTCTTTAGCTCTGGTGTGAGATTCTCCAGAAGATGGTTTTTCTTCTGAGCCCACAACTCAGGTGTGCCGGTAATGGCTGCAATAACAAACTCAAGTTTATGAGTATCTGGGCTTTGGACATTAACTTCACAGTCATAAGAACATAAGAACGGCCATACTGGGTCAGACCAAAGGTCCATCTAGCCAGTATACTGTCTTCCGAAAGTGGCCAATGCCTGATCACCCAGAATCAATGAGCAGAAACAGGTAATCATCCATTTGATGATCCCTCTCCTGTAATCCATTTCCAGACAGGCTAGGGACACCATTCCTACCCATTTTGGCTAATGAGTATTGATGGACTTGTCCTCCATGAATTTATCTAGTTCTTTCTTGAAACGTGTTAAAGTCCGGGGCTGTGTCTAGACTGCACCCCTTTTGCGGAAAAGGGATGCAGATTAGACACAGCACAATTGCAAATGCAGTGGGGATTTAAATCTCCCCCGCTTCATTTGCATGAACATGGTTGCTGCTTTCTTCCGGCTCGGGGCTTTGCCAGCAAAAAGCGCCAGTCTAGACGGGATCTTTCGGAAAATAAAGCCTTTTCTGAAAGATCCCTTATTCCTGATTTTAAGAGGAATAAGGGATCTTTCAGAAAAGGCTTTATTTTTTGAAAGATCCCCGTCTAGACTGGCGCTTTTTGCCAGCAAAGCCCCGAGCCAGAAAAAAGCGGCAGCCATGTTCATACAAATGAAACA